TACACATTGGTAAAAAGCAGCGATAAAACATATGAAGCACATCGCTTCATGCGAAGAACTGGAGGAAATCATGCTAAGCGAAGTAAGCTAAGCACAAAAGGGCAAGTACAACATGAGTCTGGTGAGGTAAGCTTAAAAAAAAATGCAAAAGGGACATAGAGGAAAAGCTACTGTATACAAACATTCCTGGGGTCAGGAGCAGCTAGTATGGCAGGGACCAGAAAGAATACAGGCATACATATGGTAGACAACTAAAAAGGAGGTGGGTAAAGGAAAAATAATAATAAAAAAGAAATGGGTAGTGGGGGCACAGGGCACTAACACACCCATGGGTAGGGTACTGTTTATATCTCCACAGGGAAAGAGGGACCAGACTTCAACCCAGTGCTCCAAGATGTGAATGCAACATGCCTTCATGGAGTAGGGAACCAGTGGGGAGGTCTGAGGGGCCGGCCCCAATCCCAACTACTACATAGACACCTGCCCCTCCCTCCCCACAGAAGGATTTATTCCAAAGGACGGCATTGAATCTGCAGCTCCGAGAGAGGGACATATCTGACTGGAGGACATGGGAGCAGATGAAGGGGGAGGAGGAGAGAGTGGAGTACATCCTGGCCCACCAGGCCTTGACAATGATCCCAATTAGAGCAGCCAGTTCACAGAGAGGACCACAGAGACATGGCGTTTCTCATTGACCCATAGCGCTACAGGGACAACACCAGAGACACAGTGGGGGAATTGCACCCCATCTGATCCCACCACACCGAGGCAAAACACTAAGGGGGTGCAACAGAACAGCAAGGGAAAGGAGCAGCAAGGTCCCCAGGGAATGCTGAAGGTGGACCTTGGGGCCAGGGTGTGGTGCCCCAACAGACTGGACTGGAAAACACTCCTAAAGGCCAACAAACAATCCTTGAACTAACTAACTACAAACTTTTCTTTATTGTTGTGCTTTGTTTTGTTGTTGTTTTTTTTATATTGTTGCTTGGTTTTGCTCTGTCTTGTTTTTGTGCATGTTATTATCTCC